ATATATACAGACCACAGGATATCACTTTACATCCATGGATAAGAGATCTCACTCATTTTTTTTAAAGTGTTTGTTTATTTTTGAGAGAGAGAGAGAGAGAGAGAGAGAGACACAGCCCGAGTGGGAGAGGGGCAGAGAGAGAGGGACACACAGAAGCCAAAGCCGAACTCTCAGCACAGAGCCTGATGTGGGGCTCGAACTCACGAACCCTGAGATCGTGAACTGAGCCAAAATGAAGTCAGATGCTTAGCTAACTGAGTCACCCAGGCGCCCGGGGAGGTGGGCTAGCTTAATATACGACTGGCAAACGCCTTTCCTTGGCCCGCCTTTGTTGCAGACAACCCACCCCAGTCTCCACTTCTGAAGAATATCGTGTGACATTCTTCCCCTCCGTGTGTCTGTGCCCAGATTTCCTCTTCTTGTGAGACCTCGGTCGATTGGAATAGGGCCCACCTACTCCAGCGTGACCTCCTGGTACCCCTTGCGAATCCGCAAATGCCTCATTTCCAAATCGGGGTCACATTCATAGGTACTGGGGGGCGGGGGGGTCAGGACTTCGGCCTGTCCTTGGGAAGGGTCGCGACTCCGCCGGTAACAGCGCCCCAAATGGGCGTGTTGTTTTAGGACGCCGTGACCTTCACAGACGTGGCCGTGAATTTCACCAAGGAGGAATGGGCCCTGCTGGACCCCGCGCAGAGAAATCTCTACAGAGACGTGATGCTGGAGAACTGTAGGAACCTGGCCTCCGTGGGTGAGGATGCTTCCCTCCCTCGGCTTACCCGTGGCCGGGCCCAACGCGAGTCTGGCCCTTCCTGAGTTCCCGGAGGGGAGCTGAGAAACGGGGCCAGGACCGTTAAGCAGGGCGCTGCGGCCCCTGCCCCCCCGGGGGTGGACGCAGGGTTTGACCCCATGAGAGGGGAACTCTGTCCGTTGCGGTTCATTTGTATTCGCTTCATGATTAACAGCCCTCGGGGGATCCTTAGGTGGGTGAACACGGAGCGCAGAGGGTGTTAGCGCATGCGTGAGGGAAGCGGAGGGACCGCTTAGGTGCGGCAGAGTCATACTTGCTTGGCTTCAGAACCCCTGCTTCAGGGAGTTTCTGTTTCTGGCACCGCTATCTACCCCCCCCCC